GATGTTTGCGCAGCACGAGGCCCTTTTAGCATCTTGACATCGCAGAAACCACACACACCATGGCTCGGAAGAACATTTTGGACCACATCAGGTGTCCAGTGCACGTCGTCGTAGCTTAGATAGCAGTGTACACGGTAGTTAGTTTTGATAAAAGCAACACCGCTGTAAATGAGATCTCCTCTAAAGATTAGGCAAAATCCCACGGGAAATTTCCACAATGCGCTCTTTGCTGTCGTCCCTGGCAGCAAAGCATCCGTCGAAGACTCGAAGCCTCGTATTGGGCTGCAAAGCTAGCACCATGCTTGCAGCGGGGCTGCCGTAGCTTTAGCGTCAGAGGAAGACGTTCGACTCAAAGAGTCACTAATACTAAGTTCCTTATCCAAAGGACACTTACAGCCCAAGACCAGGGCTCAAAGTTAACACCTTAACTTTTATGCTTCAAAACCAGAAGTGATTTATTTACTATTATTGCGGCCAAGCCGCCTAGGGGTAAATGTATCTCTTTAACTATCTAGCATAGTTAAACCTAATCAAATGCATAACGTGTGGCTTTCAGCCAACGTACTGAGAGACCTTGTTAACTCTCCAACTTATGTACTGAGAGTTTGTTAACTCGCCGGGTACTTCGTACCCCTGTGTGTTCCACACCATGTAACCCCGTTACACTCTCCCTCACTAAGATGAGAACATTCCGTTCTCGAACTTTCCTCAGCGAGGTCACGTCTTGTCAAGACGACGGAGGTCACTAGACCTCACCTGTGCGTTCTGCAGCTCCACGAGCTCACAAACGCGTTCGCATCCTTGATGCCTGGCACTCCCACTCCGGCCCACGGCTCAACGTCTCCAGCGCGTCGCGCCGCCCCTGCCTCGTCGGTCCCAGACCCCCAACTGCGCTCCGTAACTGCTCCAAGAGCATCTTCGTCTCTTTCGGTGGCGGAGTACCACCAAGAGTATCGCCGTCGACACGGTCAACGCTCCATGAGCCGTCAACAAGAAGAGAGCAAAGCTCAGAGCTCGTCAGAGCCGCGGGCGCCGCCCAGAGGGAACGATGGTCTGTTCTCGGAACTCGAAGAGGGCGAAGTCGATTACGACGAGCCCATGGGTAGTGAGGATCACTCCAACCCAACCTCTCCGAGGTCGCACGCTGGTGCCGCGTCTTCCCCAGCTTCCTCTGTGAGGTCTAGCCGCTCAACGGCGCGATCTCCAACAAGAAGAGACCTGCGGACACCGCATCCGTTCTCTGAACGTTCGAATCCGTTTCGCTCGCTGCGCGATGCGCCAACCGCTATCGTCGCGGTATGACGAGGGAAGATCGATACGATCACAACGTCATTACGAATGACCTGGACG